AAGAATTGGAGGTTCTTCATGACTTTGTGTACCTTGGCTCAACAATCTCTGACACCCTCTCCCTAGATGTCAAGCTGGATAAACACACTGGCAAAGCAGCTACCATGTTCTCTAGACTCACAAAGAGAGTATGGCTCAATAAGAAGCTGATGGCATATACCAAGATCCAGGTCTATAGAGCCTCTGTCCTGAGGACACTCCTGTATTGTAGTGAGTCCTGGACCCTTTGTGCACGGCAGGAGAGGAAGCCGAAACACATTCCATATGCATTGTCTCCAACACATTTTTGGTATCACCTGGCAGGACAAAGTTCCAAATAGAGTAGTCCTAGAACGAGCTGGAATTTTAGCATGTATACATTACTGAAACAGCAGCATCTACGTTGGCTTGGGCATGTCGTGAGAATGGCTGATGGTCGGATTCCAAAAGATCTCCTGTATGGAGAATTAGTGCAGGGAATGTGCCCCAGAGGGAGACCACAGCTGTGATACAAGGATATCTGCAGGCAAGATCTGAAGGCCTTAGAAATGGACCTCAATAGATGGGAAACCTTGACATCTTAGCGTTAAGCATGGAGGCAAGTGGTGCATCATTTTGAAAAGACCCTTGTCCAGCAGGCCAAGGCAAAGAGGCAGTCCCGAAACCAGCAAAATCAGGGAGCTGGCTAGGGGACAGATTGTATTTGTCTTCAGTGTGGAAGGGACTGTCACTCTCAAAATGGCCTTCTCAGCCACACTAGATGCTGTTTCAAGTCCTCTATTAGCGTTAAGCATGGAGGCAAGTGGTGCATCATTTTGAAAAGACCCTTGTCCAGCAGGCCAAGGCAAAGAGGCAGTCCCGAAACCAGCAAAATCAGGGAGCTGGCTAGGGGACAGATTGTATTTGTCTTCAGTGTGGAAGGGACTGTCACTCTCAAAATGGCCTTCTCAGCCACACTAGATGCTGTTTCAAGTCCTCTATTCAGAGCACGTTACCATAGTCTCTCGAGACTGAAGGATGCCTAACCTAATCTAAGAGAATATTTATTTATTATATCATTTATTTATTTGATTTATACCCTGCCTATCTGGACTACTCGTCCAATGCAGAGAGGAATTCATTTCTGCATTGGACATATATGCTCTCCTAAAAGTAAGCCAAGCTGATCTGCAGTGTCAACAAACTACTCAAATAACAAACCTATTAGCAAAATCCAGATGTTCTGAATCCCTTATCACCTGTTCTAATCATTCAGCACTTCTTTTATTTCATACTCTCAGAGTGTAATTAGGAATTGGTTATCAAAATTGCAAGATTCCTTCATTCTACTGTCCCACTCTACAGTTCCTACAAAGTGTGCTTTTTAACCACACCAAGCTTCTAAGAATTATAATCTATTTTGAAAGGATTGCTGCCATCCCTTTTTTTAAAAACTGAAAAGAGATGTCTTATAATCCTTGCCTTTCCACATTAGAGAAAAATGTAACTAGTCAGTTGGCTTGACCTATGACCCACAATCCAAATAGGGACTTGTTAATTATCACCAATTAGCCTCTGTGATTTATGCCATTTCCCTTCCAATGACATTGCTACAGAACAAGCTTTTGGCTTATGTGTAAGATATTATTCCCCCAGTGAACAACAGTCACAGCAACCAGTTCTTGAGAATAGGAGGAAAGGCTTTAGAGGGATAGAATGGCTTCTAGGGAATCTTGAATTAAAAAAAAAAGAGTATGATGACCCATAGGGTCCCTTCCAGGTCTGTAGTTCTAAGATGATGATGATATGCTATCAAGACAGTTCGGACTTATGGTGACCATTTTCAGGGCTTTCCTAGGTAAAGTGTGCTCAGAAATGGCTTACCATTCCCTTCTTCAGGGGGCAACCTGGGATTGTGTAGCTTGCCCAAGGCCACACAGACTGGCTCTTCTGGAATGCACAGTGAACTGAACTTGCAACCTCTGGCTCTACAGCCAGATACACAAATCCCAAGCTATCCAAAAGCTATTATTAACCTGACCATTAAATTTACAAATTAGCTACTTACTATTGAGTTCCAAACTGCTGAAATTTTGAGTTAAGCATCTGTATGCCTCTACAGAGATTTTACACTACCATTATATTTTCTTTCAAGGTATCTGTAATGAAAGCATCTCAAGACATGTACAGAGTATATCTTTCCTTTGTAATTGGAAACTATTTTTTTAAAAAATAAAAAAGCTTCTATTTCATTTGAAAGGACATAGGATTTTAAAGAACAGGAGTTCCTCTGAAAAAAGCAGTCTTCTAAATATTTGTACTTAACAGAAACCAGAAAAAAAAGACATATTTTAGCCTCAGTGATTTTTCTCCATCTTGTAATAACAGCTTGGATGATTAGTAAGAAATGAGAGGTAAAACTAAGCAGACACCAGAAGTGATCAAAAGAGGAGAGAGAAAAACTAAAATATGTATTTGGGAATATCTGTGAATATTCTCAGTATTGCGGTAATATCTTTTAGGCCAGGAGTATCCAAACTTTTCAGTATGAGGGCCACATCATATATTTTACTCATTTTCAAGGGCTGAAGTTTTATAAGGATGAGTAAGTTTTATTTGGATCAACAAACTTGTACTTGTATACTACAATATTAATGGGAATGATAGAACTTCTTGTTTAATTTCAAAATATTGCTGAACTGAGGTTTCAAGTTTGAGAAGCCAATTATTAGAATGGACTGAAGATGCTCATCAGATAAACTTACTCAATAGTTGGACTTCACATAATTCAATAGATTCATGCAGACCAAAATATCCCTGGTGGAAGTAATGGCAGAGGTAGTGGTAGTCTGTTTCAGCAAAAACAATTTAGGTTCTTGTGGTACCTAGCTTTGAGCCTAGCCATTTTTATCTGACATAAACTTTCCTCAGCTGTGGCCCATGCACAGAACACAATCTCAGGAGCAGGACATTTATACTCAGGTGGACATGGGAAAAGAGTGTGAAAGGGGATTGGACAGATTTCTGGAGGAAAAGATGACAGGCTGCCCGCAAGATGGAACAGAAAGGAAAAAATGTCCCGCACAATCTGAAGGGTGGTCGTTACAGAGTCACCGACTTCCCAGTGACTTGACCTCCTCCTCACCCAGTGCTCCAGCCCTCCTATTTTCCTACTTGCCTTCTGATTGGAAGCCATCCTCCAGGTAATGTTGCCCATTGGCTGCGGCCCAGTGACAATCAGAAGGTTCCGTGGGGGTGGCTGGTGCGAGGAGCCACTTCCACTGCCTGAAGTCACCTGTTCCCCCTCTTTACCCAGCATGTTGTTAGTCTGTGGAACTCCTTGACACAAGATGTGCTGATGGCATCTGGCCTAGATTCCTTT